TCATCCCATAAATCCTGAAGCATCCAGCCAGGCTTCTGGTTCAACTGCCTAGCTTTGGAGAAACAATGGGACAACCGCTTTCGAGCTTTGAGATGGAAGTTTGCAGCCACTTCCGCGCTATAGCGGTGTTCCCATACACACTTGCTCTGTATTTCAAAAGTCAAGTATTATATGGAAATATCATATTTAGATGGAAATATCATAAAAGCTATACTCGATATATTATACTTAGCTTTTATTAGCTATAATTATTCAAAAGTTAAGTGCATTAACTGTTTATAATACAATATTAGCTAAAAGCTAATAAATGATTATACTGCTTAAAAGAATATTTATACCTTAAATTGATTGAAGATTGCCTCCTTGAAAGCGAATGGGAATTCACTCCAAGTCGCATAAGGACCATCATAAAGCTTTCTGGTGGCTTTGGTGATGATCCTTGTAGTAACATTACTAGGGATGAACCTGTAATTTTATTAAAAAAACACATTAATATCTTAGTAAAACTGTACTAAACAAAAAAAGTTAAAATAACAAATAACTCTTACCCGTCACCCTCAGGGACTATGATGATCCTGCCATATTCATCATAATGCACCTCCTCGTCATTAGCAGCATCATTGTCCGAAGCATGTACATCGGAGGCATGTGTGGAAGGTGTAGGGGGGTCAGAGCTAGTATCTCGCAGGCGAAGGCCTGCAATAGATGGAGTCCCAGATGAAGATGGCTGCGAGCCCTGGGACTGCGAGCCCTGTGAGTGCGACACAGCTGTATGGTCCTCAAGTGGATGAGACACAGATAGCTGTGACCCGAGTGGCTGTGATCCATGTGGATGTGACATGGATCGATGCGATCCATGAGCTGCTGATGGATGCGATCTATGTGGATGTGAGACAGGTGGACTGTATGTAGGTCGTACAGTCCTATGGCCCTGTGAAGAAAGACCCAGCGTCTACACGAAGGTGTAGGGCTGGACATGCGCTGGCAGCTCAGAATAGCCCTGGGGTGGAGGCGCAGGCACAGGCATAGGCACAGGCATCTATGAAGAGGCAGGAACGGATTGAGTAGTACCTTATACTTAGTGCATAGTACAGCGTAAGTATATATGTTATATATATATATATATATATATATATATATATATATATAAAAAAGCTATACATACTATAGGCTACATATATATATACATACTATACATACTATATATACTACATATATACATACTATATATACTATTTATATGTATATATAAATATATATACATATAAGCAATTATATAGTGTATATATATATATATATATATAAAATTTACAAGAAAATGCCTTAGATTAAAAAAATTCAAAAAAAAATAGCCCGGAACACTTAGGCCCGTTTAGTCCCGTGGGCCCGGCCCATTTAGCCCGGGACCATGTGGGCTTAGGCCCACAGTGGGCAGGTTCCACCCACCAGGCCCGTTAAGCCCGGGACCGCCAAAGCCCGGGACCGTTAGGACCGGCCCGTTTGGCCCATTTAGGTCCGGGCCCGGCCCAGAATACAACTTTATCCATTAGAAGGGGGCATCTATACATGGGCTAGAGGGAGGAGACCACCACAATAATTGACAGGATCCTGGTATCGATGGAGTGGAATGAGTATTTCAAAAACATCAAACAAGAAACTCTTCCTAGAGTTTGTTCTGATCACACACCCTTAATGCTACAGTGTGGTAGCTGGGTTCACACCAAATCCTACTTCAAATTTGAAAACTGGTGGCCGGAGCTCTGACAAAATCCAGAACTGGTGGACATTCTTTATCTTTGAAGGTAGACCGGACTATATCCTTGCTTGCAAACTAAAGGCCTTGAAAGGCAAACTGAGAGAATGGAGCTTGAATAGCTATGGCAACCTGGAGAGAGGGAAAATATCATACTGAACCAAATAGCTGAGTTGGATGCTATCCAACAACAGAGGAACCTTAATGAGGAGGAGATGGACAGGAGAACAAACCTATCCATAGAATTTGACGAATATGCTACAAAGGAGGAAATTGCCTGGAGACAAAGATCTAAGGCTCTACGGCTCAAACAAGGAGATAGAAACACCAAGTTCTTCCAAAGAACTGCCAATGCACATAAAAGATTCAACAACATCAGCAAATTGGAGGTAAATGGGGAGAGTATTGAAGAACCAGCTGAGATCAAAAAGGAGATTATCGACTTCTATCAGAAGCTATACTCTGAATAAGAAGTATGGAGGCCAACCTACAATATGAACAATTGCCCATCTATTTCTGAAGCTGAAGTACAGACATTGCAAAATGTTTTCGAGGAGAATGAAGTTTCTGAATGCTTAAAGGCTTGTGCAATAGACAAAGCTCCGGGACCGAATGGGTACACTATGGGCTTTTTCATCAAATGCTGGGATGTGGTGAAACCAGACATCATAGCTACTATTCAAAACTTTCATTCCCAGGAGTTCTTTGCAAAGAGCTTCAATGCCACTTATGTGGCATTGATTCCTAAGAAGGGTGGTGCCAAGGAGTTAAGGGACTTTAGGCCTGTCAGCCTCATAGGCAGCATCTATAAACTGATCTCCAAGTTACTCACTGAAAGATTGAAAAGGGTGATGCACAAATTGGTAGACTCACAACAAATGGCATTCATAAAAGGGAGACAAATCACAGATGCAGCACTGATTGCAAATGAATGTGTAGACTCCAGACTCAAGGAGAAGAAGATGGGAATTATGTGCAAAGTAGACATTGAAAAGGCTTTTGACCATGTCAACTGGAATTTTTGCTAGGAACTCTCCAGAAGATGGGATTTGGTAGGAAATGGGTCAACCGAATCAGATTCTGTATAAGCAGTGTCAAGTTCTCCATCCTGATCAATGGAGCCACTGAAGGTTTTTTCCCCTCGGAAAGAGGTTTGAGACAAGGAGACCCCTTATCCCCTTTCCTGTTCATTCTTGCTATGGAAGGGCTTAACAATATGTTAAGAACAACACAGGGCAATGGATGGATTAAAGGTTTCAATGTTGCAAAAAACCAACAGGACAGATTAGAGGTTACTCACCTTCAATATGCAGATGATACCCTCATTTTCTGTGATGTTGATGTGACCCAAGTAAAGTATCTAAGAGTGATCCTCATAATCTTCGAAGCTATCTCTGGTCTACATATCAACGGGAGGAAAAGCCAGATATTTCCGGTCAATGAGGTCTCTAACATTCAGCTGCTGGCAGGCATTCTGGGAGGCGAAATTGGTTCTATCCCAACCATTTACTTGGGGATGCCTTTGGGTGCTAAAAGCAAATCCAAGGATATATGGAATGGAGTTCTGGAAAAATGTGAGAAAAAGCTAGCAAGATGGAAACCGAACTGCATTTCTTTGGGTGGTAGATTGGTCCTCATTAACTCTGTGCTAGATGCCCTCCCCACATTTATGATGTCCCTATTTCCTATACCTGCCAATGTAGAGAAAAGACTGGACACCTTGAGAAGAAACTTCCTCTGGCATGGAAACAAAGAGAAGAAGGGTTTTCATAGTCAAATGGAAAACATTGACCCTCAGTAAAAAGAAGGGAGGTCTGGGAGTCAGGAACTTGAAACTGCAGAACAAAAGCCTTTTGATGAAATGGCTCTGGAGGTTTACAAGGGAGGATCAAGCTTTGTGGAACAAGGTTATAAAGGCTAAATACGGAATGGAAGGATTCTGGATGACTAAGCAGGTAAACAATGCTTATGGCACCAGCTTATGGAGAACTATAAGGAATCTGTGGCCGAACCTTGCTGTCAAACTTCAACTCAAAGTAAGAGATGGAAGGAAAACTCTTTTTTGGGAAGATAACTGGTTAGGTATTGGTTGTCTTATGAACCTTTTTCCAGACATTTATGCTCTGAATCAACAACACAGAGCCACAATACACCATCTTAGAGGGACCAATGCTTGGAACCTCACCTTCAGAAGACCTTTACATGATTGGGAGCTGCCCAGAATTACAGAGTTTTTCAATACTCTGGAGCTATGCAATGGATCAAAGGAGGGAGATGACACACTTAGATGGTGCCAAAACAGCAGCGGGGTGTACACAGTCAGCTCAGCCTACAAATACCTAAACCAAGATGGTGGACAAGTCAACCTATGGCCTTGGAAACACATCTGGAGGGTCAAAATACCATACAAAGTGGCATGTTTTGTCTGGCTGGTAGCTAGAGAAACAGTTTTAACATATGATAACTTGAGGAGAAGGGGAATACCAATCTGTTCGAGATGTTACTTATGTGGTCAAGAGGTAGAGACAATCAGCCATCTGTTTCTACATTGTAGAGTGACTAGTCAGTTGTGGGACTTATTCGTCAACCTCAGAGGCATTAGATGGTCAATGCCAGGAAGAACATCTGAACTATTGTCAAGCTGGAATGAAGGGGGGAAGTGCACTGCCTCCAACAAAGACAGATGGAAAATTGTCCCTGCGACTATTTGGTGGACAATATGGAAGGAGAGGAACGCAAGATATTTTGAGGATTCAACTAGTTCTATTCAGAAAATTAAGATGAATTGTATTCTTCTTTTTTGTTTTTGGTGTAAAGCAGAATACAGTGTTGACTTAGAGTCAATTCCACAGGTCCTAGACTCCTTGTAAGATGAGCGAGGATTAGAATAGGGAGCTCTATAGGCTTTTGTAAACTTTTTTTGGCTTCCAGCACAACCTTTGTTCTGAAGATTGATTAATACAAACATACCTGTTACATTGTCAAAAAAAAAAGCTGAAATTTTTTCTGAATGTAAATAACCTAGAATCTGATACTTGACTCTAAGTACACAAGGGAAACATCAGATGGTTCAAAAGAGAAGCAACCAGCAGGGATGAAGAATGAAAATCTTAATAACCACTTCGTAAAGCTCCAAGCTTTTTTTCTAGATTATGATCAACTCATCCTTTTGTTTCCATAGAACTTTACACATGGAGCTTTGACCAGAGGAACAAAACTATAGGTCTACATGATTTACTTGGTTTACCTGCGACAAAATTTTAGCACATTCCCGCATTGTAGACAACTCCCGCTTCTGTGAAGCCGCATCAAATCGAGCTAGTAATCTGTTTTCCAACTCTACAGGCACCAAATAAGAAGAAACTTAATATGTACTTTAACAAAAGCAAATACTATTAAATTGTAGGTTAGAAGGCCAGGAGGAATAAAGACGAATAAGAAGGAGAGTCCTCACTTCTTTATTCTTTTACCAATCAGTAAGTTGCTAACGAATTTCTATAAATATTATCTTCTCAACATTATCATTCGACAAATGGTGCATGCAATATATACTATCAATCAATCAACTACCTCTAAATCCCAAATATGAATCCTCTGTATCTATTACACTCCATGTCTCCATCAGGTCTATTTCTTTACAATACAAGGCAACTTGTCTTTTAGGGCAAATTAAGGGTTAGCTAGAGGTTCTCTAGATCGCACACTTATTCTTACATGGACATATATGTCTCTAAATAGGATAGAGAGACTTTTGACGACAAACTAACACAAGAATAACAACAACTAAGTCTTAATCTCCAAAGAAGAACTGCATAAAGAAAACAAGGATGAACAGACAAAAAGTTGCCTGCAAGAGAACATAAACAGCACAAACCTTCCTTAGAATTACCTAAGACAGATCTTAAACTACAGTACTATGTGTCTGCTTCATGAAAGACACGTGAGAAAAGAGGCACTTCAACAACACAACAAGATACCCAGTATAATCCCACGGGTGGGGTCTGGGGAGGGTAGTGAGTACGCAAACCTTACCCCTACCTGAAGAGGTAGAGAGGTTGTTTCCGAAAGACCCTCGGCTCAAGAAAAGGTGGAAAGGAAGAATAGGGGAGAAGAAGAGGAGGAAAGAGGGGGGAGGGGGGAGAAAGGCGATAAGCAAAGAGGAGAAAAACTAGCATCAAATAGTAGCCACCAGGGAGCAACAATATCTAGTAAAAGGGAAGAAAAAGTAGCATCAAACAGTAACAATCAGAGAGCAACAATCCCAATAGCAAAATTTACAAAAACAAAGGACGTGGTTGCAAAGTACCAGATATAACAACAAAGTAGAAGGAAGTAACTTTCAACCCACAGCAAGAATATTACTAGTACTACTGGTGAACCTATGAAAAACTCGCAACTACCTGTCAACCCACCACCTTAATCCTCGACCACACCTTCCTATCGCTAGTCATGTCCTCGGTTAGGTGAAGCACCGGCAAGTCCTGCCTAATCACCTCTTCCCAATACTTCTTAGGCCTACCCCTGCCCTTCCTCAAGCCCGCTATGGTCAACCTCTCACATCTCCTGACCGGGGCATCTATATCTCTCCTCTTCACATGTCCAAACCATCGCAGCCTCGATTCCCGTAACTTGGCTTCCACAGATGCCACACCCACCTTGTCCCTGATAACTTCATTCCAAATCTTGTCTTTCCTGGTATGACCACACATCCATCTCAACATCCTCATTTCTGCTACGCTCATCTTTTGGACATGGGACTTCTTGACAGGCCAACACTCAGCTCCATACAACATAGCTGGTCTAATCACCACCCTGTAGAATTTGCCCTTAAGTCTAGGCGGCACACTCTTATCACATAAAACTCTCGAAGCTAGCCTCCATCTCATCCAACCCGCTCCAATGCGGAGAGTAACATCCTCGTCAATTTTCCCGTTGCCTTGGATTATAGACCCAAGATACTCGAAACTATCTCTTGTGGGAATGACTTGAGTATCAATCTTTACTTCTATTTCTTCGTGCCTCTCCTCACTGAACTTGCACTCCAAGTATTTAGTTTTCGACCTACTCAACTTGAAACCTTTGGATTCCAGCGTCTGTCTCCAAACTTCCAACCTAGCGTTAATACTCCCTCGCGTCTCGTCAATCAATACTATGTCATCAACAAATAGCATGCACTATGGCACCCTCCCTTGTATGTGACGATTCAGGACATCCAACGCTAGGGCAAACAAAAAACGGGCTAAGGGTTGATCCCTAATGTAACCCCATCTCCACTGGGAAATGTTCCGAGTCTCCTCCCGCAGTCCTCACCCGAGTCTTAGCGCCTTCGTACATGTCCTTAATCACCCTAATGTACGCTACGGGGACTCCGCTAACCTCCAAACACCTCCATAGCACCTCCCTCGGGACTTTGTCATAAGCCTTCTCAAGGTCAATGAACACCATGTGCAAGTCCTTTTTCCTCTCCCTATATTGCTCCACTGATCGTCTCACAAGTGAATGGCTTCTGTGGTTGACTGTCCCAGCATAATCGAACTGGTTCTCAGATATAGATACGCATGTCCTCACTCTCTTCTCCACCACCCTCTCCCAGACCTTCGTAGTGTGACTCAGTAGCTTGATACCCCTGTAGTTGTTGCAGTTCTGGATATCCCCTTTATTTTTGTACAACGGAATCATCAAACTCCACCTCCAGTCTTCGGGCATCTTCTTCGTCTTGAAAATCACGTTAAACAAGTTAGCAAGCCACTCCAAGCCTACCCTACTCACTTCTTTCCAAAATTCCACCGGGATCTCGTCAGGCCCAGTCGCCTTACCCCTGCTCATCTTCCGTATAGCCACATCAAACTCCTCATACCTAATACGCCTACAAAACCCAAAATCTCTCCGACTCACCCAGCACGATGTTCCTATCCCCCTCCTCGTTCAAAAGTCTATGGAAGTACTCCTGCCATCTACGCCTGATACACGCCTCTTCCACCAATACCTTACCGTCTTCGTCTTTGATGCACCTCACTCGATCTCCCGAGCCTTCCTCTCCCTAATTTTGGCTAACTTTAGGTTCCTAATTCAGTTCATACCAATATAACTTTTTTCTTAATAAAGAACACCAGATAAAACCAATGATTGCTAGTTCAACCAATATGAGTTATAACAGATACATAAAACTCAGTCAATTTTGTTGGGTAATTCTTGAATAAAAACACCAGCACTCTTAGTGCCATCAATTCTGGCTTATAAGGTGTCCATACTAGCATATATATATCTTGTCTTTTATTTCCTGATTGATATCAGTAGTATCTAGGCCAACTTGCGGACACCTAGATTAATCCACCGAATACCTGCTACCTTCAACTCAAGTATCAGGTTACTTTATTCTGTCCACACGCGGGGGGAGGGGGGGTGGCCTCCAAAGAGTTCATTCCAGCTTCATTGACCACTAGGTCACACCATAACTTATATTTATCATCTTATTAAATAAAGTAGAAATTGGAGAGGGCGAGTTGAGGCTTGCCTTTCACAACATTTAGTTTTGTGCCAGAGGGAGTTGACAGTCCAACAAATTTGTATAACACTTGGGGTGGGAGGGGGGGAGTTCATTGGGATGAGGTCTAGAAGCAACCTTCAAGATTGAGAGATGGGGGAATATCAAAGCCTGGTCGAGCTACTATGCAGGCAGCATGCACCAGAAGCAATATCATATTAGTGGAGAGTGTGTGTGTGTGTGGTGTGGTGGGTGGGTGTGG